TCTATCTATCTATCTATCTATCTATCTATCTATCTATCTATCTATCTCTCCTCTTCCTGCTTCTCCTGAAAAGATATAGAGACCACATGAACCAGCACATTTGTAGATGTTATGATCATGTTTAGTGTAAAAGGAGCGGCGGACTGTGTCCCGCCACCCGGCTCCTGGCTAGCTTTATCCGAAATAATTACACGAAAACTGTATTCATTTAAACATTGCCTGGCCCATTATCTGTAGCCTCTTATTGACTAACTCTTATATATTGATCTAACCCATTTCTAATAATCTGTGTAACACCATGATGTGGTGGCTTACCGGAAGGATTCTAACCGGCATCCTACTCGGAGAGGAGAGTCATGGCGACTGCCTCACTGCCTTCTTTCTCCCAGAATTCTGTTCTGTCTACTCCACCCACCTAAGGGCTGGCCTATCAAAAAGGCCAAGGCAGTCTCTTTATTAACCAATGAAACTAACAATAGACAGATGACCCTCCACCATCATTTCCCCTTTTTCTGTTTAAGGAAAAAAGAAAGGCTTTTATTTTAGCATAGTAAAATTTTAAATAACAAAATAGTTATCAAGCAAGCATTACAGTTACAATATTTATATCTACTTTATCTTTTATCATAACTAAGGATAACTATAACTAACCGCTCTTCAACTCCATCAAAGACTCCAGAAAGATATAATATTACCTAAGGAAATAAGAAATAAGCAGCTTCCAAAACTCTAGAAATGACAGAGACATCTCGCTGCCTGGACAGTCATCCAAAGTTCTTTTGTAATGTTGGGGCATCCATCTTTGGCCTTCAGGTCCGTAGTATCCAGCAGACATTTCCATGAAGCAGGAAATTTCAAAGACAGTTCAGTCATTATCTGCTGTGTCCTGTAGAATGTCTCATAGATTCTTTTATGAATCAGGAACCCTGAAAGACCATCTCACCTTTAGGTAAGTTCAGCAGTCCTCTCTCTGTGGGTTCTCTGTGTCCAGTTTATGCAACAGTCCAGGCAAGAGCAGTTTCTTGCCCAAATGTCTTTCAAATTCCATAAGGAGCCTCTTCAATGCCCATCTTCCTCTTGAAGTAGATTGGTGCTGCCAGGAGCAGACGTGTCTCATTGTCATGAAAAGCCCTAAGTTATTTAAACATTAAATGCCATGTTCTGTAGTCTTTGAAAGATATGAAGAATGCCTATCTTAAATATATCTATGCACATCTAGAAAATCAAACTAACATTTCTACAAGTTTGACTATTATCGATGATTATCCATTAACAACCTATATTTTTAATTATACATTACATTTTTAAATGACCTACACAATTACAATACCTTAATTAAGAGCAGAAATGTATAAATACATATAACAAAATTGGCCTTAAAATCTATACCAATGTAAATTAATATCCCCCTTTAAATGTAAAAAAAACATTTATAAACAATGTTTGGGAATATGGGCGCAGTTATTTTTCTCCAAACTTTTTTTTGTTGTATGGGGGCACTGTTAATTAGATCTTTTATGGTGTAACCTGTGTGTCAGGTTTATCTCAGTTGGCAGTTGAGTGAAGTAATTTTTTGAAGGTGTTTATGGCAACCTTTTAGGAGGGCGTGGTCTATCATACCATATTGGGATAGAAACAATCCATAGGGTCTCATCCTCTGTGAAAACAAAAGAAGACCCTCTCCAAAGCATCATATCCTTAGACCCAAATTTGGAAGTCATTATACCCTTATGATATCCATTTTGGTTTAGCTTGACAGTCCATATGATGAAATGTCTCTCTGTATTTAGCTCCTTTATAATCAAAAATTTTAAAGAAAATATAATGTATATAATCCAGACTTTTTGTGAATTTTTTATTTTTATGTAGCTTATTTTTTTATTTTTTTAATCTATAATTATTTGTAATTTGTCTCTTTGAAGACTTTATTCTTTTTTAAGGCATTAATTTTATTTTTTATATTCTTTTTTCTCTCTCTCCAAAGCCTATGTACAGTCATCCAACATTGTGACCCATTTATAAGTCTTGTATGTCTGAATCTGTTTTATTGTGAGTTTGTAAATTTTTTAGTATTTAGGAGCAGTTCTTAATATGTTAAGCAGTTTTTAAAAACTTAAGTTGCACCATGTAGAGGTAATATGGTACTGCCTATTTTTTGTCCAGTATAAACCTTAACTGTGCTTTTATTATGATAATTATGATCGTTTTTGCCTGAGGTTAGCACAGTTTAGCATGGTGGAGCAGAGCCGGAGCCACTCCAGCCTCAGAGTCCCTCATAGTTTTAGGCATAGAGCAGGTCCACACTGGAGCTGCACTCAGAAGTTCAATTCTGAGACTGAGCATGCAGCACAGAAACTCTTTTCATCCAAGTTACAGCCAAATCTGACATGCAGAGCACTGTGTAGCCTGGAAACATCTCTCTGTATGGAGGCAGAAATCTGCCATGCTTTCCCGCCTGCCTAAGCCTGATTTTGCCGTCTGTACAGGTGCAGGCAGGGAGCGCTGAGCCATTGGCATGGTCTCAGAGTATTTTTTTCCCAACCTCACGTGGGCACATCAACGTCTGGACCCAGAAACGCTCCATAGCCGGAGTTTGCACCAGCGGCAGAACCCAGGAAGTCACGGTTTAAAATGGCGCAGCTTTTTTTCTACCGCTAATGCTGAAACAGGAAATCTCTCTATAGCACACCCTAGCAAACAGCAAAATCTGTGTTAAACTCTCTTTTCCTTATTTTTTTAAGCTCTCTCAGGTTTTACGAGGAGTTCATTACCGTGCTGGGAGCCAATATGTAAAAGGAGCGGTGGGCTGTATCCCGCCACCGGGCTCCTGGCTAACTTTATCCGAAATAATTACATGGAAACTGTATTCATTTAAACATTGCCTGGCCCATTATCTGTAGCCTCTTATTGGCGAACTCTTATATATTGATCTAACCCATTTCTAATAATCTGTGTAGCACCATGAGGTGGTGGCTTACCGGGAGGATTCTAACCGGCATCCTACTCGGAGAGGAGAGTCATGGTGACTGCCTCACTGCCTTCTTCCTCCCAGAATTCTGTTCTGTCTACTCCACCCACCTAAGGGCTGGCCTATCAAAAAGGCCAAGGCAGTCTCCTTACTAACCAATGAAAGTAACAATAGACAGATGACCCTCCTCCATCAGTTCAGCATCCCACAACAGAGTCATTTTCAACCACCTCTCCTGAGCTCTCTTCTCACCCCCTCTTTTTAGTTTTCATTTATGAGACTCTAGAATGCTGTTCCAAAAGAAATAAGTTTTATTCACATTAAAACGAAGAGGCTGTCTGAATTACCAAGGTACTCCATTATACCAGACCCTGTGCTAGGTACTATAGATTCAAAAGAAAAGATGCCAAGCACTTGTTCACACCCTGTGGGACACTTAGACTAGTCAGAAACAGACACACAAAATAAGCACACAGCATGCTAGAATATAAGAATGTAAATGAGGAACCACCCAGAGGAGAGGGTCCAGATGTTGGATAAAAAGAGCAAGTAGAAGCTGGTAAATCCTGGGTATGACATATTGACACCTGGTGCTCAGGCAGCTAGAAACCTAAGCTGCTGTGTGGGGCTGTGCACCTTAGAACATCCACACACAATTCACTTCCCTCATGTCCTTCTCTCTCTCTCTCTTTCTATCTCTCTCTCTCCCTCAGGTCCAGGTGGACCCCAATCACTAATTCCACTTGGCAGATTTTCTTCTCCACTCTTGAGTTCACAGGAAGTCTGCAGAAGCTCGACTTAAGTGGAAACCCACTGAGCAACTTTGCACTGAGGAGCCTTTGTAAGACACTGAGATGCCCTGCATGTCAACTAAGGACATTGTGGTGAGTCTGGCCTGGGCTGTACCCTGAAGCATGGATGAATGCCAAAAGAACAAAGGAAAAAGCTGTGTCTATGGTTGAGGCTAAGTACTCATCAAATATCCACTAAACTCTCTTGACCACACCTGTGACAGATGACAGACTTATTACATTAAACAAATCGATTCTTGGAGTCATAAAAGACTGACATTCAGCAAGGACCCCCACTAGCTATTGCTAACAACAGGCCCATGAGGACTCCAGTGGGGCAAACATCCTGAGGAAGTGGCTGCGGGAGAACTGAGGAGCACAGAGGAGGAGGCTAAATGAAGCAGAGGGAAGAAAGCTCCAGGCCAGGGAATGGCGTCCCCACTTCCTCCTGCTCTCTGTACTTGTAGCCACGTTCTTCTCTATGGACTCCATCTTTACTAGGATTTCACTTGACAAGTGAGATCATGACTAGTGAGATCATGACTAGTGGCTCTATGGCTGGTGAATGACATATCAGATGACTCTTCAAATACACCAGTTAGTGTTCCTGGGGCTAGAGGAGCTCTGCCATGGCCAGTCACAGCACAGCAGTGGATCTCAACCTGTGCTCCATGATTCTGCAGCTCAGTCCTGGGGATCATGGAATTATCTGCCCAGACTAGAAAAGGCAAGAGAAAAGCTAAGCACTGCTAACACAACATGCCAGGGCTCACAAAGGGAGACCATAGTGCAGTTCCCAAGAGCAGTGAGCCCTGGAGAATCTGATGGTGATCATCTCCCATGCAGGCTTGTCAACTGTGGCCTCACATCCAGCCACTGTGAGGACCTGGCCTCAGTGCTCAGTGCCAGTTTCAGGCTGGCTGAGCTAGACCTGCAACTGAATGGCCTGGGTGACCGTGGTGTGAGGCTGTTGTGTAAGGGGCTCAGGAATCCTGCATGCAACCTCAGAATCCTGTGGTAAGTAAGACTCTTGGATTCCTTCTGGGCAGAAGGCAAGGGGTGGGACACAGGTGCATTACTAGATGACAAGATATAGAAAAGAAAAGGGACAGATAATTCATAGTCAGCATAGTCAGCCTGGCTCATGACCAGTGACTCTGACAAGTCACTGTCTTCTTTAAAACTCAGTTTCCTCATCTATTAAATGGAATGCCATACCTACCTCATGGATTGTAATGATACAAAATGTGCATATGTAAAAAAGAAGATAATACCAGGTAGGTAGCTGGGCACAGTGGAATCATATGTATTAGCAAGTCTGTATATCCTGAAAGACTCCCAGGTTTGCCTTACTCCAGGACAGTGCTTCAATCACTTATTCATTCAAGAATCCATGCATGCATGCTTATCAGGGACCATGAGTACCAAGTGCTGGTCTCGACCCTAGACATACAATCACAAACACACATGGCTCTATGTTGACAGAGGTTTCTGTACTGTTTCAGTCCAGCAGCCATTCAGTCCCAAAGAAACACACAAAGGTCTATGTGAATCATAAACTGGTTGACCTATTTGTTCAGGCTTCTTATTAACTCTTATAACTTACATTAACCCATAATTCTTGTCTGTGTTAGCTACATGGCTTGGTACCTTTTATCAGCAGAGCATTCTCATCTTGCTTCCTCTGTGTCTGGCTTCCTCTGTGACGACTGCAGACTCAGGCTTTCCTCCTCTCAGAATTCTCCTTTTCTCATTGCCCCACCTCTACTCCCTGCCTGGCTACTGGCCAATCCGCATTTTATTAAAATACAAGTGACAGGGTACAAGACCATTGTCCCGCAGCAGCTCTGTCCTGCTGAAGCTAGGTAGAGATAGACTGACAGGGATTACCCGTTAGCCCATGACTCTATTGGCAATTTCTACTGAATGCTGTGGAGTCAATAGTATTGTGAGAGTATATTGTTGTAAGAGGGTCTGCTGCAGGCTTATCTGAAGGAGAAATGGATCTTGTTTGGGTCAACCAGGAGACAGCAACCCAGACAAAAGCAGAGTTGGGGAAAGCCCTAAAACAAATAAGGATGGGAGCCCTGGAGGGGCTTGTGTCTCACCACAGGAACTTCTTGTCCTCTGTCCAGAATTCCTTTAGGATTATGGTCATGACCTCCAGCCACTGGGAATAGCTGATGGCTACTCTGTGGCCCTTTGTCAACAAAATCCCCTCATCTCTGACCATGTTATCTTCCCCAGGACAGTCTGTTTCCAGTGACTGACTTGTGTGGGAGGGGTATAAAGGGCCAGGCCCTCCTTTTATCTCTGGAACATTCCAAAGGTCTTCATCCTTACTTCAGATCTCCCTGCATACTGACCAAGCCCAACCTAGAATTTATTATGGACAAATTTCTCTCTGTTCATCCTGGGCTCTCTGTTTATCATCCTGATTTTGGCTCAAGATTTCTTACTGGCTCAATCTACAGACACCAGAGCCTAGGCCTTGTGGTCCTGTGCTGTATTCCAGAAGAAACTGTCCCCTCTTGTATTTTCAGGCTGGACCAGGCCCATCTCAGTGACCAGGTGATAAGGGACCTCAGGGCCCTGGAGGCAAGGAATCCAAAGCTGTACATCTTGAGCATATGGTAAGGAATGGACATAGGCGTCTCTCTGATCAACCTGCCCTATATGTGGCTGTTTCAGAACTGAGGAGTGGGAAAAGAGGATTGATGTGATGAGAAAGAAAAATAGAGCCAGGAAGAAGCCAGGAAACCACAGCAAAAGTGAGGAAGGGTTCTATGTATTGGGAAATTGTACTTTTTTAATTTTAAAAAATAAATAGGATCATATTACATGCTTATATAAGTTCTTTCTTCTGAAAAATAAGATATGAAATGTGAATTAATGGTAACTTCTCTGCACACAGCCATAGTGACAATGGTAGCCATCTGTAAACCCAAACCACAGGAACAGTGAAAGCAGAAACCACTCTTAAGAAAAACACAAAGAAATCTTTTAGAAAACAAAACCACTATGAGTATCACTATATATCATTATACCAACCCTAATGATCAGACACACACATACACACAGGATTATGTGCATGCCACACACAAGAACACACACACACACACATACACACATACACAAACACTGTATGTACTACAGAATTTAGGACCTCAGGAGAGGAAAGCCATTTTCCACCCCACAAACTCTGCTAAAGTCCCATGCTCTCTCCCAGTTTAGTCAATTTCAGTCCGTGACCATGAATTCCTTCTTCCTAAAGTTCCTAGCTGTCCTGCCACATGTGAGACCGAGGGTGCTATAGACATAGGATGGTTATCCATTCATTGAGTGAACATTTGTGCAAAACCAACTGTACATCATACACTGTTTTGGGGTCTGAGGGCATCTCAGTGAGCAAGGCAGACAGATCCACCATTTGATATCACTAGATACCAACAGTGAGGGAACACTTGTTCCTCAGGATCTACAGAATTGTTCCTGGGAACCTATGAGTGTAGCAATGGTCTGTCTGACCTCATCCAAAACTGAGGTGAGATCTCAAAGATGAGAAATGTGGGGTTGATACAAGAAGAAAATTCCAGGCAGACACAGAGGATAAGGAAGCAGAGAAAGAAGCTCCACTAAGAGACAGGAAACCATGTGTAAGACCATCTGCTCTGCCTCACCATCACCAGGGAGCTCCACAGAAATGCAGGTGCTCTGACCCCACTCCATCCATGCTGACTCAGAATCTCAGGTGTGGCAGCTTCCTTCAGTGAGCTTTCCGACTTAGCATCCTGTCCAGGTGACATTTTAACACAGTGATTTGAGAGCCACTGGTCTAGATTTGAGCAGGAAAGGGTGACATAGTAAGGCCTGGAGAGAGACGGGGGCCACAGAAAGAACTATATGAACCATCCTAAGAACCTTCTGTTTCTCCCCAGAGGAAATGAGAGGCATTCCAGCACCCTAGTAGTGAAGGGGCATCTCCACCCATTTTTTTAAGGTCAGGTACAATGTAGAAAATGTGATAGAAGGGACCAGACCTGAAGCAGGGACGCCTGCCAGAGGTTCAGGACAATGTTCATTCCATCCTGGGACAAGGATGGAGTCTGTGGAAGGGAAGAGTAGAAAACAGAAAGGAGAGAGATTTAGAAGATCCTGTCTAGGTGATTGGCATTCAGGGTGAGTAATTATTTGTTTTGGGCAGCTGTAACACAATGTCTGACACTGGACACTAAACATATAGAATTGAGGTTATTTCTTTCAGCTTTGAACACAGGGAAGGGAAAGGGCATGGACTGTGCATCTAGAGAATTCTTCTTCCTGTTCCATCTGACTGTGCAACTGCCTGAAAATGAAAGGTCAAGCTGGCTTTTGTGACAAGTCCTGTCAGGGCACAGGAATCTACTCCTGTGATGATGCCATTAACCCCTTCATGACAGCAGAGCACTCGTGACCTCATTGTGTCTTATCCTTCATCCTTTCACACTATAACACTGGGGATTAACTTTCTAATGAGTAAACACTTGGGAAAACACTCAAATTGGAAGAAAGAGGAATTGAGATGATCTCAGGTATAGGGCATAGATGCTCAGGAGGATAGGGGCCTTCATAGAGTTCTGGCCTAGCTAAGATGCATGGTACTGAGTTTGAATACAGGTGAGCTGGATTTTATGTGGGGATATTGTGAACAAAGCCCTGGTTTCCCTGACATCTGAGGGAAAGAAAACCTTTTTCTTTAGGAATCCACATGTGATGGACCCTACTAAGAATCCAGATGGAGAAGAAATGAGGGCCAACCTGATCTCATTCATGCAGCAGAAACTACAGTTGGGTATGTGAAAGATAGATTCAGAGCATCATGATTGGCAGATGAAAGGGTATCTGTGGGAGGAAGTCATCATTTCTTTCTCTTTAAATTTAATTTTATTTTAGAATTTAATGCACAAGCACTATATGTATATCATTTCCAACCATAAGTCTGACTACTCTAACAACTTCTCTGTCCCACCAACAAACTCTTTCAAATTTATGACTTGTTCTTAAATATTATTGTTAAATATATGTGCATTTACACAACTTCAGTCCATTAAATAACCTATTGAGTCCAACTAGACACACTATCAGGAAGCTCCCTCAGGAAGACTGATTTTTTATCCCTCTTCTATCAGCTGTTAATTGCCTATAACTCTTCATTTAGAAGTGGGACATTTTCGGATTTTTCCCATCCACATTAGCATGTCAATTAGTGTTGTCATTTTCCAGATTTTGTTGAGGAAAAGATAATCTTGAGATTTTATTGGTGCAATATCCTTTGTGGGGGAACATTACCGGCAACAGATGATCTGGAAATAGTCATCATTTCTATCCCTCTGTCTCCAATAGGAGTAACAAACCTTGCAAGACATTCCACACCTAGAAACAGCAGGGAATACTGCTTCCTTCTTTCCCAGCTTTGGGGGCTGCTGATGCCCCTTACTCAAGTATTTTGTATAAGGCTCTATATCAGGGCTCTGTGTCTCATTCTGGGGTACTATGGCCTGGAATTCATATGTCTATCTATGCTCACCTATATTTTGAGTTATGTTCTGGTCTCAACATACTCACTTGAGATATGCTGGGAAACTCAGTGCTTATGGACTAATAAGAAAGGGATGGTTAAACATTAAAACATCTGCTAATGTAATCCACCATATAAACAAACTGAAAAAACCCACAGCATCATCTCATTAGATATTGAAAAAGCCTTCAACAAAATTCAATATCCCTTCATAGTAAATATCTTAGAGAGATTAGGGATACAAGGAAAATACCTTAACATAATAAAGGCATTTACAACATATCAAAAGCCAGCATCAAATTAAATGGAGAGAAACCCAAAGAGATTCCACTAAAATCAGGAACAAGACAAAGCTGTCCACTTTCTCCATACCTACCCAATATAGTACTTGAAGTTCTAACTAGAACAATAAGACAACAAAAGGGGATCAAGGTGATACAAACTGGAAAAGAAAAAGACAAAACTTTTACAGATGATTTAGTAGTATACATAAGTGGCCCAAGAATTCTACCAGAGAACTCCTACAGCTAATAAATACCTTCAGTAAAATGACAGGATACAAAATTATCAAAAGTATCAGTAGCCCTCCTATATACAGATGATAAATGAGCTGAGACAGAAATCAGAGAAATATCACGCTTTAAAACAGCTACAAATAGCATAAAATATCTTGAGGTAACACTAACTAAACAAGTGAAAGACCTGTATGACAAAAACCTTAAGTCTTTAAAGAAAGAAATTGAAGAAGATATCAAAAAATGGAAAAATCTCCCATGCTCTTGGATAGGTAGGATCAGCATAGTTAAAAAAATGATAATCCTACCAAAAGCAATCTACAGGTTCAATGCAATCCCCATTAAAATCCCAACACAATTCTTCATAGTTCTCAAAAGAACAATACTCAATTTCATATGAAAAAACAAAAAACCCAGGATAGCCAAAACAATCCTGTTCAATAAAGGAACTTCTGGAGGCATCACCGTCCCTGACTTCAAGTTCTACTATAGAGCCATAGTCATAAAAACAGCTTGATATTGGCATAATAACAGACACATGGACCAATGGAATCAAATTGAAGGCCCTGATATTAACCCACACACATATGAATACCTGATTTTTAACAAAGAAACAAATTTTACAATGAAAAATAGAAAGCATCTTTAACAAATGGTGTTGCCATAACTAAATTTCAACATGTATAAGATTGCAAATAGAACCATATCTATCCCCATGCACAAAACTCAAGTCCAAGCAGGTCAAAGACCTCAACCTAAATTCAGGTAGACTGAACCTGGTAAAAGAGGAAGTGGGAGGTAGCCTTGAACGCATGGGCACATGAAACCACTTCCTAAATATAGCACAAGCAGCACAGACACTGAGAGCAACAATCAATAAATGGGACGTCCAGAAACTGAGAAACCTCTATAAGGCAAAGTACATGGTAAATAAGACAATTCAGCACCCTATAGAATGGGAAAAGATCTTCACCAACCCCACATCTGACTGAGAGCTGATCTCCAAAATATATAAAGAACTCAAGAAACTAGACATGAAAATACCAAATAATCCAATTAAAAATGAAGTACAGATCTAAACAGAATTCTCAACAGAAGAATCTCAGATGGTCAAAAGACATTTAAGGAAATGCTCAACATTCTTAGTCATCATGGAAATGCAAATCAAAACGACCCTGAGATATCATCTTACACCTGTAGGAATGGCTAAGACCAAAAACACTAATGACAGCCTATATTGAAGAGGATGTGGAGTAGGGGGATCACTCCTCCACTGCTGGTGGGACTGCAAACTTATACAGTCACTTTGGAAATCACTATGGTGGTTTCTCAGAAAATTGGGAATCAATCTGCCTCAAGACCCAGCTTTACCATTCTTGGGCATATACCAAAAGGATGCTCAATTATACCACAAGGACACTTGATCAATTATGGTCATAACATCATTATTCATAATAACTAGAACCTGTAAACAACCTAGATGCCCCTCAACCAAAGAATGGATAAAGAAGATGTGGTACATTCACACAATGGAGTATTACTCAGCTGTTAAAAACAATGTCATCATGAAATTTGTGGGCAAATGGATGGAAGTAGAAAAAAAATCATTCTGGAGTGAGGTAACGCATACCCAGAAAGAATACATAGCATGTATTCACTCATAAGTGGGTCCTAGATATAAAGCAAAGAATAAACAGACCACAATCCACAGCTCCAGAGAAGCTAGGTAACAAGGAGGACCCTAAGAGGAACACATGAATCGCCCTGGGAAGAGAAAATACATGAGACCTCCCAAGTAAACTGGGGCCTGGGGATGGTAAAGGGGAGGGGATAGGAGATGAGAACATGGAGGAACAAGATGGTCGAGTTGATGAAGGAATAGTGTGGGAAAGCAAGGAAAGAGATGTCCCGATAGAGGGAGCCATTATGGGGTTAGGGAGAAATCTGATGCTAGGGAATTTCCCAGGAGTCCACAAGGATGACCCAAGCTAAGACCCCTATCAAAAATGGAGAGCTTGCCTAAACTGGTCTTCCCCTGTCATCAGATTGGTAACTACCATAACTGTCATCATAAAACCTTCATTCCATAACTGATGAAAGTATATGCAGAGGTTCACATCAAAGCACCAGGTTGAGCTATGGGAGTTCAGCTGAAGAGATGAAGGAGGGATTATATGTGCAGGTGGGGCAAGATCATGACAGAGAACCCACAGAGACAGTTGACCTAAACTTGCAGGAGCTCACGGGCTCTAGACTGAAAGCTGGGAAGCCTGCGTGGGACCAAACTAGGCCCTCTGCATGTGGGCTACAGTTTTGTAGCCTGGTCTACTTGTGGGATCCCTGACAGTGGGACCAGGATATATCCCTAGTGCATGAAGTGGCTTTTTGAAGATTATTTCATACAGTGAGATGCCTTGCTCAGCCTTGATGGGTGGGGGATGGGGGGCATTTGGTTCTGCCTCATTTGAATGTGCCAGATTTTGTTGACACCTGTAAGAGGCCTTACACATTCTGAGGAGCAGATGGGGGTGGGTTGGAGAGAGATGGGAGAGGAGGGGAAGGAGGGGAGGGAAACTGTTGTTGGTATGTAAAATGAATTAAAAATAAAATATATATAAAAAAGAAAGGCTGGGTAGTGGTGACACATGCCTTTAATCTCAGCACTCAAGAGGCACAGTCAGGCGGATCTCTGTGAGTTCGAGGCCAGCCTGGTTACAAGAGCTAGTGCCAGGACAGGCATGAAAGCTATAGAGAAACACTGTCAAAAAAAGAAAAAAGAAAAAAAAGGAAAAGAAAGAAAGAAAGAAAGAAAGAAAGAAAGAAAGCCAGGTAGTAATGGTGCACACCTTTAATCATTTTAATCCTGTAATTCCAGCACTTGGGAGGCAAAGGTAGGCAATCTCAGTGAGTCTACGGCTAGTCTGGTCTACAAAGTGAGTTCCAGGACAGACAGAGAAATCCTGTCCCAAAAAAAAAAAAAGAAAAGAAAAGAAAAGAAAGGAAAGGAAAGGAAAGAAAGAAAGAAAAGAAAGAGAGAGAGAGAAAGAAAAGAAAAGAATAGGAAAAAAGGAAATAAAACACAGGAGCTGGTGTGACAGCAGATGTTATGGTTGTTCAAAAAAGAAGAGTAGGAAAACAATAAAACCAAATGTATATGTATAAATGAAAAGCATGTAGGTAGCCTGAGGAACAGCAATAAAAACTGCAGCTGCACTTCCTGCTAAAGCTTAGGCCAGAGAACCTGGAAAAAGAGTTTAGCCATGGTCCAACACTAGAGAAAACTCTGGAGATAAGCCTGGACAACAAAGGGTGACCTCTGTATGACCTATTCTGGAAGAGGAATGCTCATAATTTGCATCACTAGTGATCTTCCACCCAACTTCTCTTGCCTCCCCAGGACATGAGTGCATGGAACCACTGGGGACTGAAGATGACTTCTGGGGCCCTACAGGGCCTGTGGCTACAGAGGTGGTTGACAGAGAGAAGAACCTGTACAGGTGAGTGAGCCCTGCCTGGAAAAGGTGACTTTCCCCAGCACACATCCCACAATTTTTGCCTGGTCTCTACTGTGTCCTCTCCTCCCCTCACCAATGCAGGTATCAATGTCTGGACCGGAGTAAGAAGTTTGGGCTGTTATAAAAATAGGGGACTTTATCATGAAATTTTCAAACATTTACAAAATTGGAGAGCACAAGAATTTCCCTACCTAATAACTCAGTTCCAACAACCATTTTCCTGAATTTGTTTCAACTGCTCACATTTCCTCCTTTGTCATCGCTGTCACAGTAGTGTGAGTCCAGGACATTAGGTGACTTCACCCACAAACATTTCACTCTGCCTACCCCATAGTTAAGAGAGGATGTCGTGTTCCATAACCAGCACACCATTACCACATGAACAGAGCAATGGGAGTCCTTCATTTTATCTAAACATCTGTGCTCAACTTGGCTCACGATTTGAAACGTGGACTTTCTGGTGGTTGTTTTATTCGTGCTGTAAGCAGCATCCCTGCCATGATTATATTTGGTTTCTTCTGTCTGTTGGATTTCCCTCCAATCCCTGTAGTCTCTGCACTCCTGCTTACTAACAACCACTGTGTGCCAAGAACCCACTAGGAGCTGAGACCATGAGGATACGTACAGCAGGCCTGTCCTCCAAGGGCCATAGTCCTATGAGTAATGGGTGACTATATCCACAGTAATGGTGTCCTCTATAACCTGGATCCTCCTCCAACACTGTCATAGTCTGTAACATGAGGGCCGGCTTGTTGGGGTTTCCGTCCCGCCCGGTACCCCAACAGCCGGCAAATCCCAAAGAGAAATTACACATAGGACTCCATAAGGTTATAAACTGATTGGCCCATTAGGTCAGGCTTCTTGTTAACTCTTATAACTTATATTAACCCATTAGTCTCATCTATGTTAGCCATAATGGCCCCGTACCTTTCTCAGCTGGGCAAGTTACATGCTGCCTCTTCAGTGGTCTGTGCAGGAGTGGCTGAGGAACCTTTCTCCTCCCTAGCCTTATCCTATTCTCATTACTCCGCCTCTACTTCCTGTCTGGTTGACCCACCTATACTTCCTACCTGGCCAATCAGCATTTTATTAAAATACATGATTGACAGAATACAGATAATTCTCCCGCACCAATAGTCACTGTCTCAGCTGGAGAAACTGTCACTTTAATGTCCTCCCACAGAAGCTGACACTTGTCCACTAGTTACCAAATGGGAAGCCTTGAGAAAAGCACTGAAGATCTTGGTAAAGCATTGTCTCTGGGCCAAGACTGATCACTAATACTAACAGATGGAATCTTATTTGTGGGAAATAAAATCTTTAAGAATATAAACACTAAAAACTGAAAATGTACTTCAGTGGTAGAGTCCTTGCCAAGTGTGCACCAGGTCCTAGTTTGAACCTCAGAAGCACACACACACACACACACACACACACACACAACACACCTATTTCATTACCCTCATTATTATCACGGGAACAGCTATCTACCCTAGGTGTGTGTTACCTGTAGGTTTGCTCTAGATCACTCAATACTCACAAGTCTATAAGATTGTGCTGTTGTTACCCCTATGTACAGATGAAGAAACAGATTTGGGGGTTAAATGACTTTGTCAGTGATCCATATAGAGACAGCATAGGAACCAGAACTCAGAGTAATATGGTGTATGTTGTGTCCCCAGCTCTGCACTGCCTCATCCAGTAGATGAGCAACATTAACATTCACTAGTGTCTGCCTCTTCCCCTTCTAGAGTTCAATTCCCTGTACCTGGTTCCTACCACTGTCCCAACATTGGACTCTCCTTTGTTGTGATGAGGGCAGTGACCATTGAGATTGGATTCTGTGCCTGGAGCCAACACCTGAACCAGACTCCCTTACAGCACAGTCACATTGCAGCTGGGCCTCTGTTTGACATCAAGGCTGAGCAAGGAGCTGTGGCTGCTGTGTACCTCCCTCACTTTGTGGATCCCAAAGGTAACCAATCAGGGAGAGGTGAGGGTTTAGGTGAGAGGCTGGGATTTAGAACCGGTCATCCATACATGAGTTCAAAGGGTGAGGTGGAAAGGGGTTTTCTGAGAAGAGCCAGGGGCAAGAGCTTCACCTTGACTGGGTAAAGTCATCTTAACAAGAGTATTTTCTAAAGAGCGGTTAGTTCCCTCTACTTTCCCTGAGGACTGAGGATGGTATGGGATATGTTTCCTGTTCTGGTACTTTTCTGTCAAATTCATCTTTTCTCTGTAAATTCAGCTTTACTCACATTCAGGACATTCACACAATGAAACTAGATTCTTGGCCAAACTGTCACATTAATGGATCCCTTTAAAGTTCCCAATAGAAACTTTGCTATTCTCTGAAACTCCGTGGGCTGATCTCCACTGTCTCTCTCAGCATTCTTGTCTTCCCTGCTTTCACCAGGATATCCCAGTAAACTCTGTTCTCAGCGTGGTAGGGCTTTTCAATTCCTAAGAACCAAACTCTTCCACATTCTAACCACAAAACAGTTCCAAAGGCCTAAGGACAATATGATCAAGTTTGTTATAGCAATGACCCAACTGCCAATATCAATTTTCTATCCAACTTCCATGTCCAGTAGCACAAATAAAATACTTGACCAAAAATTCTTAAGAGAAAAGACTTATTTTGCCTCACATTTAAAAGAAACGGTTCATCCTACTTGAAAGTCTAAGAAGAGGGAATTTTTGGTGCCTGGTAAATTGTGTCAACAGAGGGAGCAGAGAACAGTGAATGCTTCTGCTCGTGTGGCCTTTTTCACTTAACATAGCCCTGGATCCTAGTCCAAGGATCCCACAGTGGGTAAGTCCTTCAAAATCAATTATTCCAATCAAGATAATCTCTTTCTGTTGTGCCCTGAGGCCTGCATCTAAGGTGATTCTAGATTTCATCAAGCTCACATTTGATATTAACCATTCTAGGGATGATCCATGTTTGTCTTCAGTGGACAAAGGTAGGTGTTGTAAAGGAGTGGTGGGCTGCGTTCCCGCCTGCCACCCGGCTAGCTTTACCTGAAATAATTACACGGAAACTGTATTATTTTTATCACTGGTTGTCCCATTAGTTATTACCTCTTATTGGCTAATTCTCACTTATTGATTCAACCCATTTCTAACAATCTGTATGTCGCCACGAGGTCGTGGCTTATTGGGAAAGATTCAGCATGTCTGACCTGGCAGCTTTACCCTCGGGTAAAAGCGTGGTACCCTCGGGTCTCTTTCATAACAGCAAATTCCATCCTGCAACAAAGACATTAGCAGATACTACCATTCCCAAGGTACAGAGGCTAATGATGGAAGCATTTCGTAGAACCTGATGGGTATAAATTTTCTGACAATGGCTCTGTGGCTGTATTCTTATAACACTATGGATGAGACCATCAAGAATCTCCACTACACTGTAAATGCCTCCCTGAGTAGCTAGCTAGGGTCAAAGACAAGGCTGCTCCAATAAGAGACAGTCCACCTGAATCACCTCTAGCAGAAGGTCATACTCATCTCCCTGGCATTGTGAATCAATACTCTGGAAATGTTTTGTTGATCTTCTCTGTTCTCATTGGGGAATAATTTTTAAAATTTAATATTTTGGTTCACAGTGTGCTTCTTATAAACATCAAAAAATAAGTAAATGTTGAAAAAGACATCATGACCAAGGAACTTATAGAAGAAATATTTTATTTGAACTTAAAGATTCAGAGGGTGAGTCCATGACCGTCATGGCAGCAAGCATGGCAGAAAGCAAGCAGGTGTGGCACTGGAGTCGTACCTGAAAGCTTATATATTTATCTTCAGGGAAGAGAGAGAAAGGAAGCTAGAAATAGCACAAGCTGTGACACCTCTAAGCCCACCCCAGAGACACACCTCCTCCAATAAGGCCACACCTCCTTCCCAAACAGCTCCACAAACTATGGAGGCCATTCTTATTCAAACAGCAACAGTCATTCTAAAGACTAGGGCGCTGTTTCTCCAGCCATGTATGGCTCAAGAGAAACACTGAATCTACATCTTTGAATCTTTTCATTAACAGAAGGACAGATGGATATCTTCTTGTTCCGTGTGGCCCACTTTCAAGAACATGGGCTGGCCCTAGAAATTCCAGCCAGACTGGAGCAGAACTATGCAGTACTGAAAAACCCAAGCTTTTCCCCAATGGGAGTTCTACTGAGAATGATCCCTGCCATCAGAAACTTCATTCCCATCACTGCCATCACATTGATCTACTATTACCTCAATGTCAAGGAAGTCACCCTTCATCTCTACCTGATCCCCAATGACTGCACCATTCGGAAGGTGACACTGAGGACCAGCAATGTGGGGCTAGGGTGGGCTGACAGAAAACTTAAGATACAGCTAGTGAGCCCTTGGAGAGAATCTCCACTTAGAGGGGATATACAGTTCTATAAATCATGATGGTACTTATGATTCTGCCCTCTTCTTGAGTCCCTCACAGCAGAGTCTTCCCCAACTGTCTTTTAAACTCCTTTATCTCTGCATAGCCTTCCTTCTATGACCTCTTTCCACCTATCAGAAGGATGGGAATGCTCCATATCCAACATGTAGTCAAATCCCTTCTTCTCTGGCAGGGACCCTGTTCCCACAATGAACCTGACAGAAACAAATAACTCAACAGTCTGTGTGACAGAACATAAGGCAGAAGGGTGCTCGGGAGGTGTCATCACCCCACCCCACACAAATATACTAATCTACCATTTTTCCTTACTCAGGACAGATGTCGTAGCCAATAAATCTAGCTAAATCACTGTCTGCAATGTTCCCTAGGCAATTGATGATGAAGAAATGAAGTTTCAGTTTGTTCGAATAAACAAGCCACCCCCACTAGATTCTCTTTATATTGGCTCCCGCTACACTGTTTCTGCTTCCAAGAAGCTGGAAATCATCCCAAAGGTGAGCATGTAGGTGTTTGTTTTTCTTCAGGCTTGGGAATCCTGTGGGGCATGTTACAAGGCTTTGTTGCAAACTCAGATTGAAAAAAACAAAAACAAAAACAAAAAACCAACTGGAATGTTGAATGAATAAGGTTATAGGTGGAAAGCAATTTAAGGGACCACACAGGAATACAGAAGGTCTGAATAACTGAGAAATTTGATTCAATATGACACCGAGAAGGGATCAACCTAACATAGGCATCAAGCCCTGGCTTAAGATGCATGAGCAGTACCTTGAAGGTGAGCTCTCATTCATTATGGTTTAAATCTGAAATGTCCCCTACAGGTGTAAATGTTAAACACTCTATTCCCAGTTAGTGCTAGTGTTTGGGGAGTTGTGGAAACAAATATGTGAGGCCTGGCCATGAGAAGCAGGCCACTAGTGGCAGGCCATAAGGGTTATAGCCATACCCTGCTCCCCACCTCAACTAGCTAATTGCTGATCCTCTGGGATATAACAAGCTGTGCCACAATCTCCTGCCACCAAGAATGTAGCCCCAGGTTACATGTATTTCCCACCATTAAACTAAACAAAATAAATCCTTCCTTAAGTTGCTTCCTGTCAGGTTTTTGTCAGAGCGATAAGAAAAGGAATAGGATGATAAGTGTTCCAGCTGGGTTCCGCAGAATTTTCCTTAACTTCTGGGGCTATGTTTTCTCTATGTCCTCTTCAACAATGTTCCAACCTTCTGCGTAAAGATGTGCACTGAAAGGCTGTGGGTTACCTCAGTGCAAAAGACAGCTAGTGTCTAATGTGGTATGCAAGATCAAGAAAGTATGGGGTGCAGAAAGTCCTTGTTCACACAAGTAGAGGCTTCGCACACGGCCCCCCAACTCTGTCTCTCTCCAGGAACTGGAACTGTGCTACCGGAACCCTGAGGAATGCCAGCTCTTCTCTGAGATCTACGTTGGACACATAGGTTCGGGGATTAAGCTCCAAATCAGAGACAAGAAACATAGCAATCTTGTATGGGAAGCCTTGCTGAAACCAGGTAAAATTATTTAGGTCCAGATACCCCAAAGGCTGAAGAAAGGGACTGAATGGGGAAGGTGTGTTGTCATTAATTCTTGGTGTCATGAAATAGTCATATCAGTTATGTGGCTTTTACTTGATCTAAAACAGGTGAGTAGAGTTAGAGTGAGAGCTGATGTAGGTGGGCCTTCTGTCAATGTGTTACTTTCATTGGTTAATAAAGAGACTGCCTTGGCCTTTTTGATAGGCCAACTCTTAGGTGGGTGGAGTAGACAGAACAGGATGCTGGGAGAAAGAAGCAGAGTCAGGCAGATGCCATGCTTCTCCTGCCCAAGATGGACGTGGGTTAGAATCTTTCCGTGGTGGCATATAGATTATTCGATATGGGTTAGTCAAGATGTGAGAGTTAGCCAATAAGAGGATAGAACTAATGGGCTAGGCAGAGTTTAAAAGACTACAGTTTCTGTGTAATTATTTCGGGTAAAGCTAGTCAGGCGGGTGGCGGGAAGCAGCTCACCATTCCTTCTATAAAGAGCAAGGGGGAGGAGAGGAGCAGGAAAAGGTGAAGAGAAGGAGAACAGACAAGGAAGAGAGACAGAGGAGAGAAGAGAGAAAGAGGCAGGAATCCCCTGCAAGATATTCTATTATAGGTCATGCCTCCAGTGACCCAGTTCCTCCAAAGGTGCACAATATAGTTTCCAATATCTTTCTCAGAACTCATACAATGATGAATGAACTAGTGTATAAAATCACAGCCCTCAGGACCAGTCTCCTCTAATAACTGCTGCAGGACTGACTAATCCTTCAACACATGCTCATTTATCTGGGAACACACCATATCCAAACCACCGCATACCTTAGGTCCCATTTTCTCTGTTCTGCATCCTGATTTCTGCCCCCAATACACTAGAAATGACAGATTTTTGAGACACCCAAAGTATACAGGCACCGGTTTACATTTAAATGTGAACAGTTACATTAAAATGATTTTTGCCATCGTGAGATATTTAATCTTAAATCCATACATAATTTTAAATACATTTTGTGTTTTGACAATTTTATACACACTTAAAATGCACCCTAAACATACCTTATCTCCCTCCTGCTCCTGTCAGCCCCTCTTCTTTTCTACAAATCTCTTCCCCACATAAAGGTTTGTTTTGTGTCTCTCAGGGTTTAACTAGGCTCATCTGTGTGCCTGCCAGTTTGAACTACCCAGTAGAAGCAAGTGAGTTCAAAAGTGGGTACAGATTGATTGTATACATTCCCTTCTCCCATAATTTATTTGTTAATAGTACTGTCCCTGTGAGCTGCTTCCCCACGTCTAGCTGACTGATGGGCAGGCCCTACTTGTGTGGGTCCAGACTTGTGTAGGTGCGGGTTCTCTGAGTTCATAATGGTCATGGTCATGTGATGCTTAGAAGAGAGAACACCCCTTCCATATCTTCTATCCCTACATTCTTTCTAATTTCTTTTTCACAGTGTTTCTAGAGTCTCAATGGTGTGGTATAAATACCTATTGATAGAGATGAGTACTCAATCATCCCTTATTGTCAGTATCCTGTACATACATTCACCTCCATTCACAGCAGTGAGAGGCTTTTCTGAAGAAAGCTGAAAGGAGCTGTTGTCTGCAGTATAAAAATAGATATTTAGAAGAACATTGACACTATGTCCATTTAGCTAAGCAACAATAGTAGCTTCTCTCAAGGGCCTAAGACTTTCAAAGACCTGGGTTTCTTTGTTTTATCAGTTTAAAATGCTAGGGTTGGATTCTATTTTGTGGCAGTGGCCTGAAGAATAATCAGGGAGCTTCCATCAAATTTGTGCCTACTACTTTGCACAAGGACTAACTTGCCTGGCAGGATGGTTTGCTGATACCCTTTCTTCCTCAGCAACCTGCAAAACACCATGGTGTTTTCAGCAATAAGGTCTTATCCATTAGTTCTGATAGGGAGCCAAGAAGAAGGAAAAGCACATGTATTGTCCTGGGAATGTCCAGGGCCTACATGCCCAACAGCTGCTATAGAGATCTCCCACACCTGGAACTGGGTTTGTTTTTGAAACATTACTTCTAAGATCTCCCATTTGGACACTCATAGGGTGTCTTGTATTCAAACTCTTTATGATTTCTGTATTGGGTTGTCAAATAATAGGTTTCAATAATAGGTTGTCAAATAATTATGACATCTAAATACTGTCTTCCTTTTCCGGAACCCATTCCACTGACCTACTTATCAACTGCACCCCACCCCTCTTGCTGTTTGAACATCTCTGCCCCCAGTATTCCTTCTCCTCTACCCTCATTTTATCAATACACTACTGTCTTACTTTCCTCCCTGAGCCCCTGCCCATTTTTATCTTTCTGTTTTCCAGGGGTTCACCAAGTTAAACCCACAGAACTAAAGCCTCCAGGGTAGAAACTGCATGTGAGAGATGTGGTGGTTTCTTTGTGGGCCTGGCTCATCTTCTTCAATATTTTTCCTATTGTATACACTTACCTTTCATAATGCCATTTTCGTCACACCTAAAAAACATCCATGGTATGTAAATGCCACACTTCTATTATCAAATTAACTGTGGATGGACATCTAGGCTTGTTGCATTTCCTAGCTATTGTGAACAGAACTTTATTGGTAGTCCCAGCCTCAGCACTCCCTTGGGGTTCAGAACAGGGGTTCAGAACATGTAGGGCAAGCTAAAACTGGCTGGGAAAAAGGATCTAAGGGATAGAACAAAGTGACTCCTTCATGTCTCCTTTGCATGTTCCTTTATTCCTTGGTTGAGGAAGATAAAGGACAAGCCCCACAAGGCTTTCAGTCTATATAGACATGCAGACACGTTAGCAGTTCTGTAGGCAGTAACAATAGTATCAAACATACATTTCCCAGAATCACAAAGGCAGGCAAAGGAGGCACCTCTCTTACATCTCAGAGGGGAAGGCGTGGCTGTAGAGCTCTCCAGCAGCTACAAGGAGGATTAATTAAGAATGGGACTTTAAATCAGTACAAAATTCTAAACAGAAGTTTTCATGCACTAACTACATTTCTTAAGTGTAACTAGTTAAGCTAGAAGTTTACAATTAATAAATGTAGAAAAATACAGCAGTGCTGTTGCACTTAACTTGAAACTTCAACTTCCTTTCACTGGTGGCTGGGAACACAGCATTGGTAACCATAGTAACCCATGGGCCTGGGAGAAAGGCTAAAGTATTTGATTTGCATCAGCATCTAGCTACCTAAATTAAGGGAATTTCCTTGTAGCTCCATTAGGGTGCCTGTTGGCACCCAGGTGAGAAGGAATTTCATTTTCTAGGGCTGGTTTTAGTGACCCCAGCCTTTTTTCTGTATCTCTAGGGATAAAGGCATAAGCAGTTAATACCCTGGGCTATGATCTTATGACAATTGAATCCAAGATGTGTAGTGAGGGGCTGCGGGCAGGCCTGCTTTTCGCCTCACCCAGCTCCTGCACAGCTAGCTTAGCCCCAGAAATAATAACACACAAGTTATATTCATTTAAACACTGCCTGGCCCATTATCTCTAGAGAGTTAGTTATGGCTAACTCTCACATCTTGATATTAACCCATTTCTAATAATCTGTAGCACCACGAGGTGGTGGCTTACCGGAAAAGATTCAGCATGTCTGACCTGGTGACTGGCTCCATGGCTTCTGACTCATAGCCCTCTTCCCAGCATTTTGTTCTGTTTACTCCGCCTACCTAATTTTCTGTCCTATCAAGGGGCCAAGGCAGTCTCTTTATTGACCAATGAAAATAACACAATAGGCAGATAACCCTCCTCCATCAAAGGTGAAGGGTAAATACAGAATATTAGTAGCTTGTTAGGTCAGAGCAAAGGCCAGTACAAGTTCCTGAGTCTGCTGCTAGAGAATTCAGGGCCATTCAGACCTGTTTATCAGGAAGAGCAGACATACTGTCTCTCTGCTCAGTGCCTCCTGCTTAGGGCTCCTTTCTTTGTGGAAGTCCTGTCAACTGTCAATAAGGATAGCTGTGCAGAACTAGTTTTCTGTAGATCTGACTATGAGAACAAGGGTTTGGCTGGGTGAATACTTTCACACCAGGCCTTCATGGTGTGGGAAAAGGAATACAGTTGCCTTTACTGGAAAAGTCAGGAGGGAGTGGATAGTAAGGGTTCCAGGGAGTAAGGGAGGGGCCAGTGTCTCTGGCTGCATGGTCCAGCTGGAATTATCAGGGTCCCAATTCCCAGGTGACAGGAATCTGGAGGTATGGCGACCCTAGCGACCAAGACTGGTGCTGAGAGACACTGGCTACTGAGGGATGGGTGAGAATGCAGAGCCCAGAAATTGTGGACATATGAGAGTTCTGTCCATTTGTCCCCATGAAGACAAAAATTTTCTAAGTCCCAGAGGACAGTTAGCTTAAGGTTTCTCTCTGGTGGCCAACACGTCCCATTGTCAAGATCATATTGGGGCCAAATCTTAGTGCATAGAGAAATTAGCCACTCAAGACAGATCGTATTGGACAGTCCCAATTTATAAAGATCTTGTAAGAGGCATCCCAAGGGTGATAGCGGATCTGACTTCGAATTGTAAGTGCCCATTTAAAAGTCTATACCCACTGTGTGGTTCAAGTCTATTATAGCGCATCCACCAAAATAGCTCTTAGGCCAGAATGGGGCTGTGAAAATTGAATGCTAGGCGTCCCTAAAACAAACAAAATTCACCGCAGCGAAAGTCTCAGCTGTCACTGTTTGGATCAGGCTTTTGGTGTGGCCCACATCTTCCACAAAAGCCTGATTATTGACAAACGTAAATACAAGTGGGTCCCCCAAAACCCTAGTAGCAAGGATAAGAAAAAGGGACTCACCAAGATGCAGCTGCTCTAGCCTGGGAGCTGATTTAAGCCTGGCACAGAGAGCTGAAGAAACAAAGGTGCTTTCAACACGTGGCCATGGGCCACACGAAAGGCCCCACCACCACCAATGGGACCTCCAAGATGTTAGGAATATTTTCTAACGAGAGCTCTCAGCCAACTCAAAATTCCAATTAAGCCAAATCAAAACAAACCAAATTAAAAGATATCAAGGTTTAACTGGACTCCTATACTCTCAGGTGGCCCCAAGGGGAACTGGAAAGCTGCCAACACGACCACCAGAAAGGAAGAGGAAAAACCACGTATTCATTTTCTGGGGAATAGTTTAAATAGCCTGGGGGAGTGGTCTTGACCTTTCCTGGGGAGGGGTCAAGGTTTGACAGGTTACCTTGACCCTCCTCAGGGAGGGGCCAAGGTTCAAGGGGCACAAGTGAGGGACCTCCAAAGATGGAGGCCAGAGACTGGGATTTACATATATCACCTCCCACATCACTTCCTCTTTTCTGTCTAAATAAAAAGGAAGGTTTTAACTTTAACATAGCAAGATTATATATAACAAAACATGTATCAAGCAAGAACTACACTTATAACATTTATATCTACTTTATCTTTTATCATAACTAAGGAAAAGAGTAACTATAACTATCTATTCTTCAACTCCATCAAAGACTCCAGAAGGTTATAATATTACCTAAGTAAACAGGAAGTGCATTGTAAGCAACTTCCAAAACTCTAGAATTGACAGAGACGTCTTGCTGCCTGGACAGTTGCCCAAAGTTCTTCTGTAACTTTGGAACATCCAATCTTCAGGACCATAGTATCTGACAGATTTTTTCATGAAACAGGAAATTTGAAGATTTGTTCTGCCTTGTATTGGCAAAGTTTATCAGTAGCTTTCTTCTGTGTCCTGCAGAATGTCTGGCAGACTCTTTCATGAAGCAGGAACCCCGAAGGACAGTCTCACATTTAGCCCAGTGCAGCAGCCATTTTTCTATGGGTCCTGCGATTCCAGTTCATATAGAATAACATCAAGCAGTTCAGATAAGAGCAGTTTCTTGCCCAAATAACTAACAAACTCCATACGGAGCCTCTCAAAGTAATTGGTGCAGACAGGAGCAGATATGTCTCATTGTCATGAAAAGTCTTAGGTTCTTAAAACATTGTAAATGCTATATCCATAGGTCATTGAAAGGTTCAAAGATTATCTATCTAACTGAAATATATCTCTATATATCTAGAAAACCTAACATGACTACAAACTTGACTGTTATAAATGACTGTCTATTAACTTGTATTTCTTAATTTTATATTACATTTTTAAATGAGTAGCATAAACACAATACCTTAATCAAGAGTAGAAATATACATACAACAAAATTGACCTAAAATTTATATCAGTAGATCAAGATCCATACCAATGAAAAGTATCCATCTCTATAATATATCCCCCTCTAAATGTAAAGAAACATTTATAAACAATATTTGGGAATTTGGGCATAATTCTCTAGACTGCTTCCTGCTGATTGGGGATGCTGTTAATCAGGTCTGCCATGGGTCCATGTCAACCAGCAGTCCTGAAGCCGTTATGAATGTTGGAGCATATGGGCCATTGTTTCAGGAGGTCTTATTTGATCAATCCACATTAGTCTGTAAGAAATCCACAGGTTTTCATCCTCTGTGGAAACAAAAGTAGAACCTGCTTTCCAAAACAACATGTCCTTAGACACAAATTTTGAAATCAAGATACCTTTAAAATATATATGTTGGTTTAGCTTAGCAGCCCTTATGATGAAATGTCTCTCTGTACTTAGCTCATTTACAGTCAAAAATTCAAAGAAAACACAATACTATACATAATCCAGACTCTCTGTGTATTTTCTGTCTTTACGTGGCTTATTTTTCTTACTCTATACTTTTTCTACAAGTTTAATATTTATTTTATTATCTTTATTCCTTTAATCTGACTGTCTGTACTCTTTTATAACTGTCTATTCTCTCTCTCTCTCTCTTTCACTCTCTCTCTCTGTCTCTCTCTCTCTCTCAAGCCTACGTACATTTATCCAACACTGTGGCCCATTTAGAGGTCTATTTCATCTGTAAACTAAAGATCAGAATGAGTAACTCATAGGATGGTTGGAAAGGTTAAATACTGTTCATACCCATCTCATAATGTGATCCTTAGTTTATGGGAACAATGTTGTTACTTTTCTTTATTAATTTAACCCCTTTGTCATGATTTTGTTTTGTTTTAATTGATTTTTTTTACATACCAATCCCAGTTCTCCCTCCCTCTTCTCCTCCCACTATCCACCTTCCCAACACAGAGACTCATTAAGATATACTACCTTCCATATGGGAAAGTATTCAAATACTGGAAGATTAAAATCATATTGCACTTGTGTTTCCAATCTTACATTTTGATTTTTAAATTCATTGTTACTCAATCACTTTCTTCATTAGATGCTCCAGTATATCTACAAGTCAGGATGCACAAAGATGGTCTAACTAGCATGGAGTGTGAGGAATATCATCCTTCCTTCGTACAAATGGAATCAGAATTCCCAATACTATGAACTGGGTCATTGGGATGACTTCCCTAAGCTGTTAGAGCACAGTAAATTTAGAGTTTTCTCAAACCTGTGGCTTAGTCATGAGCTGAAATTTATTAACATCCTTTACTTGGTGCTAAAATTAACTCACTGTTCCCATTTGCTCAGTCTTTGCTTCATCTTGATTCTGCAGTCAAATCAAGAACACACATTTGTGGCATGTGACTGTACAAGGTCAAACAAGAACCAAATGTAATTTTCTACCCAGGATAAAATGTCTAATGATTTAGGCATGTAAGGAACTTAGTTAATTCTCTATAACTAATTCAGTCTAAAATGAAATTGAGACTGTGACTATGTGGGAGAATTATCTATTGCTCATTCACGTGTCTTCTCTATCAATGGTGATAGAACTGGAGCCTAGATTCTATGTGTGAGTAAGGCTATGTTCACGTTCCAGATTATATCAGAATTTCTGTAGCTCATTCTCAAAATCTCAGGCATGGGTGGGAGTTTCATAGAAAGCACTGAGTGTTGGTGACAGGCATCATTGCAGATGCTTCATCTCTCTTTTCTTCCAGGCGATCTCAGATCTGCACCGTCCATGATCCCTGCAGCCCACAAAGGTCAGTAACAGTTATATGAGGCCAAAGTAGCCAATAGTATTCTGCTGGTAAATCATCTGATCCTTGAGAGAAGGGCAGTGAGAAAGAAAAAAGTATTGTTTTGCAAACCTCACCAGGACTGGCAAAGGAGGTGCATGCCCAGGGCAGAATTTTTCTCATGCCCCTTGCTGCTCCCATGTTGACAATAACTCCACCCACTCCCAACCTGAATACTCCACCACAAAACCCCCTGGTTAGTCAGAACATCAGACAAATAACTGGCCTCAAGAAGGGTACATATATGTTTTCTGATGACTTCCCAGAGGAAGAAGGGAGCCAGGGATGCAGATGAGGTATGTGAAAAGAACAAGAAGTTGGCAGCCAGTGGGAGAGTCCATGGAGGAATGTTTCTTTGCTCAGTGTGAGTCTCATCTTCACCCCTAGATTCTCCTGCCTTGCTACACTTTGTGGATGAGCATCGGGAACAGCTGGTGGCAAGAGTGTCATTAGTGGACCCTCTCTTGGACAAGCTGTATAGGCTGGTGCTGAGTGAAGAGGAGTATGAGGTAGTGCGAGCTGAAGCCACCACCCAAGACAAGATGCGGAAGCTCTTCAGCCTTGGCAGGTCCTGGAGCTGGAACAACAAAGACCAAGTCTACCAAGCTCTGAAGGAGACCCATCCTCACCTGATCATGGACCTCCATGAGAAGTCAAGAAGTGTCTCTATGAGATTCTGACATCTTAGTTGATGAGGGTTTGGCACTCATTTGATTTCTGGGTCTGCCTGACTTTTCTTTTGCCCTAAGTTTCTAAATCCATAAACCAGTGGCCATCTGAGTAGCTTTTCTAATGGCATTGTTTCCAGGAGATCTCGGGGACTCAGATGTTTCCTCTTGGCCTTTCTCAGCCAGATGTTCATGTGGGATAGCATCTGATAAAACTTACAGTGGCGCCAGGAAATCTATTCAGACCTTGTCCAGCCTGCTCTCATAGTTTGAGTGGCCAGGCTTGCACCCACCTGACCCACCATGATACAAGAGGAATGAAATGTATGGGGATGGAGACAATGAGATGGTGCTTTCCCTGGAAAGTGAGTGTCTGATGAATAAGGAAGGAAGGGGGCTTCTGAAACATTTCCCACCCTCAGTGTGGGTTTTTCTTTATTGATTCTAATTGCCTTATCAAGTCTTGAACAGTTTCATTCGTTTTTTTTCTGCTATTTGTCTTTTTTTGATGTTTTAGGGATTTATTCATTTCCTCATGCTGTTTGTATTTTCCTGGATTTCTTTAAGGAATTTATTAATTTCCTCTTTAAGGACCTTTAGCATCTTTGTACAGTCTTTTATGTTCTTTTTCTTGTGCTTTTACTATGTTGGAATACTCAGGGCCTGCTGTGGCAAGATAGCTGGGCTCTCGTGGAGACATATTGACCCAGATGCTATTGATTGTGTTTTCATGCTAGCATCTAAGCATCCAGAATTGGGATGATTATAGGTCTAGGGGCTTATTTGTTGATTTATTTTTATTTAGGTGGGTGTTTTGTTCCTTGGTTTCTGCTTCTTCTCTGGATTTTAAGAGATGTGATAACCGTTGCCTGGTATGAAATTTTATTGATCTGATACGTGTGGCCCATGGGGTTTCCGGGTATTTCTTGTCATTGGAAGCTGACACTTGGAAATGGGGATAGGCTAAGGGTCTGAAGGAGTTCAGAGGGGAAAGGAGATCAGAGTGTTCAACAAGGATTCGCTTATTGAGTCTCCTTGAAATGAGGGAAGGGACAATGAAGAGACCTCATCCCAGGAAGTCTGCCATAGCACTGGGGCTGGGACTGGAGAACTGGATCTAGAAGTACAGAAGGAGAAAGGAAAATCTATAAACAGGCCACCTGCTTCCCTGGCAGGAGTACCCTGTGGGTTATCAGGGGGTGTCTGCTGAAATTACGAACTAGGATAAAGCAACAAGTGGGGAGAGGGATTTTGGGAGGGGGATGTCTGTGGAATCCACAGGAGATGTGGGCAGGGGGAAAGAAGGCTGCAACAGGGCTAAAATCATTAATATAGAAACAAAAAGAAAGGTACAAAGAATCAATGAAATGTAGACAGATTTTTCTTTTGGCTGCTAGCTCACAAAAAAATGACACAGAGACTTATTAATTGTGAAAGCTTGGCCTTAGCTTAGGCTTGTCCTACTAGCACTTATAACTTAATTAACCTATATTTTTCAAATCTATATTCTTTTATGTGGCTTGGCTACCTTTACTCTGTATTGCCCATCCTGCTTCCTCGACATCTGGCTGATGACTCTGCCTTTCCTCTTCCAAGAGCTCTCTGTTCCTAGAAGTCCTACCTTACTTCTTTCTATATAGCTAATGGCAATTCAGCTGTTTTTTTTAAACCAATCACAGTGGCATATGTTCACACAGTGTAAAGGAATATTCTACAACAATGAAACAAAGAGCTGGTTCTTTGATAAAAAGCAACAAATTGACAAACCCCTATTCAAAATAACTAAGAGGAAGAGAATTAATATTCAAATTAATAATCTCAGAAACAAAAAAGAGGACATAGCAACAGACACCAAGGAAATCTAGAGATTCATAATGATGTATTTTAAAATCTAGTACTCCACCAAATTGAAAATCTAAAGGAAATGAATAATTTTCTCAATATATACCACTTACCAAAGATAAATCAAGATCAGATAAGCAATCTAAAGACATTTAAAACCCCAAGTGAAATAGAGGTAATTAAAAGACTTCCAAAAAAGGAAGACCAGAACCAGATGATTTTAGAGTAGAATTCTACCAAATTTGCAAAGAAGACTTAATATCAATACTGCTTAATACCAAAGTTTCACAAAATAGGAATAGAAGAAACATTGTCAAATTAATTTTGTGAGGTCACAAACTAAGAAAGATTCATCAAGAAAGAGAATTACAGATTTCCCTTACGAATATAGATGCAAAAATACTTATAAAATATTTGTGGTCTAAGCCTGGGGACCCCAGAGGCCAAGCACGGGTCCACTCCGGTCTCTAGACTTGGGGCAGAGAGAATTTCATTGCCCTCTGGTACTAGGTAGCCAGACATCACTATGATTCTTGGCAGCAGAAACCTGCCCAGCGCCATGACAGACTGTGTCGGACAACAAGACCCACAAGCAGACCCAGGGTGAACGTCCCAGGCTCTGAGGAGGAAAGATGGTCCTGCCAAGAGACATGATGGGTTGAATAGGAAGAGACCAACATGTGGCACAGGGCAAACAGGCACAATTATGGTATACAACGGTATGGTATGGTATGGTATGGTATGGTATGGTATGGTATGGTATGGTATGG